GGGTACACCTGATGGCAGAGCTGCGAAATTTATAATCAGTGGACGATACTAAATTCACAAAGGAAAGCAACCTGCGAGGCTTATGATACTGACTACACCTAGGCTGGGTCATGGTTCAGACAGACATTGTAATGACTGACTGGCATTTGCCTTGACGTAAATTAGAACATTTGACGTCAATTTAATGGAAGACACTCTTCGGGAGAGGACATCTTTTCAAAGGGAGACATTCTATGGGTCCGATTGTAAACTCCATCCTCATAAGAGGCCTTTAGTGGCCAGTCACTTGACGTGGCATCTTTGGAGAACAGCTCTATCTGTAAAGGGTCGGCCACCATTATTGTTTAGAACGACTTTCGGTTGTTACTGATTTGTCAGAAAACCGTTCAATAAGACAACCTTGCTGCACTCTATACGCATCCGTTCTTCGACTCGCAGATAATCGCTTTTTTCTCCTACAAGCGATGGCATGTACAGAAATGTATGTTCGGATCAAACCGCTTCCTAAGGCTTGGTCTTATATTCGTAGCCTTTCACGAGACTGAAACATTCGTTCCACTGGCCAACAGATTTTGTGAATTGGATGTAGGGGGTAATCTTGGAAAGGTTGTTTGCTATGGACTAATTCACCGAGTCACGCTAACACAAGTTGTTTTTCTGGCTTAAACTTCCCGTATACACAGATATCCCCACAGTGGACCAGTCTGCTGGAAATGAGGCGGTTTCCGCTTTTCAGACAAAAAAAGATTCTGTAAGATATTACTAACCAAACGTTTTGTTTTGTTTTCCTTCTGAGTTAACTGTAATACCCCAGGCTGTACAGGAAACAGACGTAAAGCGAGCCATATGGATGATTGTTTTTAAGGTCACGTAATGGGCAAATTACCACTTCAATTAGACCGAAAATGAAGGTAAACAAAAACAAAGCCACAGTAGAGGAAAACCTCAATAGCATATTTGTAATAAATCTTCATTTTGGGGTTCTATGAAATGTCAGGAGACATTAGTTTGCTTGATTATACTTGATTTAGCTGGTATACCAATATCGATAAAGAAATGTAAACAATGTGACGCTCTCTGGATTCAACACTGCACAGCACTTTGTGCATTACAGACAGCCCTAGTCTCCGTTGTTGACCGGAACTCGGGGAAGTCGACAGAAGTTAGAATTCCGTCACTTCAGGCAGAGGTCGTCAGGTGACACTGTGGCTTTACAAGTTTAGTCTTGGAAAGCGGACGGGAAGCATTTCTTCAAAGGGACAAGTGTTTGGGATTTTAGTGCATTCTGAAAGGAAGAATAGACTATAGGACACGAAGCTCAAGCGGAGCCCGCGGATTCGTCTTTTTATTTGCACTATAAGTTGCTTCCACTAAAAAAAATCCAACCCCTGTTAAGGAGATAAGCCATTTTAAGCTGTATCCGGATCAATTTATTGCACAAGCCTACAAGCTGCGACAGAGCAGGTAGACACTGTCTCGCAGGCCGTTGATAAGATATGCTGGCGACTTCTACTCATAAATTGTGCACAGATTCGATAAAAACATCTTGAAATCATCGGCCCTATCTGTTCTGGTGACTCTCATTCTATGGCGATCGCTGTTGTTAATCGTGCACACCACAGAATACAACAAAAACGTTTCGACGTTCAAGTGTCACCATGCTAGTCAAACAGTCAAACTGAACTGTCTTCTAGCAGAAGTCAATCTTTTTTATCTAAATGAATTAACGAAGGCGAAGACCGAAGCATCCCCTCATATGTGTAACTCACATAAGAAACTTTCAACCATGTGTGGATGTAAAACATGGTTTCATTGTCAAAAGTATGCACGGAAGCTGCAGCAAAATTTACAGTTAGTTAGTGCTAATTCCGCCAGAATTGGGTCACTACGCGAAGATTGTTGATGCCATGTGATGCTAAGACATAGGACTCTTGAACAGGCAGAGTTCCCTATTTCCTCCAAAACGACCCACAAATGTGGCTGACTATGATGAGGTACGAGCAAAGTGTAGGTTTGTTCCATGAATCAGAACATGGTCTGATTTTCAGGTGCCAGTATCCACCGATGTGGGTGGTGCATTGTCTCATGTTATGTCATGTGTGAAGTTTTCCGGCATTCCAATTCGTTCTGTGAGCAAATAGGTGACCACAGTTTATAGTTACATACTGTTTCTGAACACCTAAACTCTATGGGTGGTGTGGCGTCATCACTAATACGGAAACTAATTATTAACTTGATGCTTGTTGACAACCAATTAGCGCAACTCAGTCTCGAATTCCAGGAACGGACATTCCGAGGTGGTATCTCGGTACGGTATGGTTGAGTTTTGCCGCACCCCTTATTTGCCCAGCCGTTTGAATCCAGTTTGAATCCAGAGAGGTCCATTTGAGACTAACATACAATAAGCAGGAAGTCAGTGGCGGAATAGCTACAAAGGAGAATAAACCTCAGTAGTCAGTCTCATCTCGTAATCCGAAGCTCGCCTGATATGGAGTTGGTATGGACTGAAGCCTATCTTGGGGAAGGGACAGTCTGACATGATCGTATGGGTTTTTAGTTATTTCACATATGCGATCTGCGGCACTGACTAGAATAGTAAATGTTCTACAAAATTTCCGAAGCCAAGGTTCGTGTTGGCTTTGTGGGTCGCTAGATTGATCAAGACCCAGTATATCTTATCGTGGATGAGCTTACCGACACTTTCGATATAACAAGGACTTCCAGTGGGTGGACACCTCGTCTTTACTAGTGATGAAATTCGTATGTCTTATAAAGCAAAATCAACGACGTATCACTGTAGTCGGAATGCACGGAGGCCAGACTTTGTTTCGCACTTCACTTAAGCCTGAAGTTAACCGATAAGACATACACTAATAGCCGTGCTAAACAAGGTCGAAATAAAGTAGACCGAAAGGAAATTAGCCGAAACCAGACTGGTGTCAAAACGCTACAGTGTCAACGCTACCAACACCTTAATCCTTCTGTCTAACTAACAACCACTGTTCTTATATTATGTTTTAGACTAAACTGCCGATGTTCTAAAGTTCCGACCTACTAAGTTCGCCACTTCCTCTTGCTCATGCAGCATTGAGTGATTATTTCAACCTTGGCCTGCAGTTGACATCTGAAGCTGACTGGTTGCATATTTCCACTAAACTTCAATTTTTTGTTACGTAGGTAGGTATCATCACATTATAAAACACAGCAGCCTGTTTTTTGTCACTTAAATGCAGATATCCCGGTTGTTGGGACGTTCACTAATAATTTGAGGGTTTAAGCTACTCATGAGTAGCTGGGATCCAGGCGATTTCCCACAAAAGTCTAACGCTCTAGGCTACCTTGATGTTCGTATGATAAATGCTCATTAACAAGCTAGCGGGTCGATCATACGGTATACCATTTGGTTTACACTGTAAATGCATAAAACCAAAATATCGAGGGTTTAGCAGCACGTTCGAGTCAGGGACGGGCCAAGTACTTCCCACACCCTCAGGGAATGCAAGTGAACGCTTGCGAGACTCATCACCAGGATCATTATATCGAAAGCAATAAATGCTCCAATATATGAGCCGGCCGTCCACTTCATCCACAGAGTAGGCAACTGAGTTGTCACGCTTGCGGTGCAAGTGTTTACAAGCTCCAAATAGTAATAGGCTACATGTCAAATTACTTTCTCCAGTACTGAAGTGTCTGAGAGATTCAGGAAAGCTACGTTGTTTCTAACATCACTTCATGAACAGCTGTTCGTTGCAAAGAGAATAGTCTCGAAACACGATTGACACAAAAGAACAACGATGTGTTCATACGATAATCGAAAGGCTGTATACTGAGAAAGTTATCTGGAGCGATTTGAGGGGAAAAACTGTTCAAGGTAGGAAATGCCACGCAAAAGCTAATCGATCTGCTTCCACAATGGCAAGTGGGAAGATTTCGAAACGTTTTCAGCAACCTTATGGATAGTGTCCCTCAGGAGAATAGGCCACAATATCCCGAATATCATACCAGGTGAAACATGAGGCAGCCTATATACGGCACATTCAGATGAAGAATATAAGATTTATTCGCCTCCCGTTGAAGCCAAACTGGTACGCAAATTGGTAGAGTTCGTGAATCTCATATAATTCGGGCTAAAGGAAAAGGTAAAGTTGACAAAAACTCGGGGGTTGCACCTACATGTAGGGCCTTAAGAAAAGCTAAACCTATCGCGTTCTGTCGAAGAGTTTCCAGCAATCTTGTGAGTAGTCTTCCGTCGAGATGTGATTTTTATTTCCGTCATATTGCGTTGTGCGACATAACTTTACGCAGTCAGCTGTTAACAGAAAGAGATAAACCGCCTTATTCGTAAAGTAGACTGAATCTGACAAGGTTGGAAGCTTTACACCCTCGTCTAGGACACACTCAGTTTCATGGTCACGCAAACCATCACATTATCAGAGATTTAAAATATTTCTCCATCGTACTTCTGATGAGCTTGGAGCAAGTGCCACGATGATTGACACGGTAACGGGTTGGATTCCGTATTAAAGAATATACAGTGAAAAGTTGCCTATCAAATTAGTCAATTTACTTTTACACTTGATATCTATTCGGATGAATGTGTGCGCTAGTGGGACAACATTGAAGGCCTCAAGCCAATGTGGGGTAGAATTCTGAAGCAAACAAAATCACGACAATATTATGCCTAAATATCAGGATTTACTCGTCTTTGTGTCACCGATCGCATTCTCGGAGAACACTTATTCAATAAGAACACAATTCCCCTTAAGTCCGGTGAGTTCACCTTGGAAAAGCTGTCGTGAAAACACTAACCGCACGATGAGAAACGTGTTCATTGCTACTGATCTGGATTGGTACTGATGTCTTTGTTTCGGGAATTTCGTTCTGTGGGCCAAATTAAGATTGGAAAGTTGTTATCGCATGAACCTGAGGGGTAGGACAGCCCCAACACAATTGGAAGATGTGGATGCCCGTAATCCCAAATACGGACAGAAGTCACAAATGGAGTATGCTACCGTATATTATAAAAACGGGAATAAACGGCATAACACAAGAAAGCTAAAAGAAACACGAAATTTGCACAGCCACTTAGCCAGAGGACCGTACATTCTTTCCCATGTGTCGGGAAACCACACGGCGCATCCAAAAGGCATAGCCTATACCAACAGCACGAAGTGGTCCCGCGACGAGAACCTCGGCGATCGAACTGAGGATTATTTTGAAGATGTTATCTTGATGTATATCGCGAATACTGACGGGAAGTGCAAGTCCAGCAGTTGCCCAGCTTAACGCCTTCCCTTCAAAACCGTAGGAACTATTGAAGGCTCCATCGAGGATATCACGAAAAATTGTGTACGCGGCTTGTTCAGGTGTGGCAAGGCCACCAGCAGAAGAAATTTCGAGGGTCGCCGATGGTTTGCCGACATTCTCCGCCTGATGAATGAAAAAAGCTTCCAAGAGTGAAGATGAAATCTTTAGTTGCGAATAGTGATAGCAAGATGACACCATCAGTAAACAAAACCCGAACTGAAATCGATTATCGAAGTTGATCCGTTTTACTATCCCGACAGTACTAATTGCAAATTTGCTGGTACATATTGACTGATTTGATGGGATTATATCCCAATTTAGAAAAGCAAAAAACAAATTCGAACGAAAAAGGACAGATGGTGCCTTGTTGTGAGTTATCCCCCTACCATTATCCTAATCGGAAGTATTCCCACACGGTCTACAAATCGGCAAGAGATATACCCGTAATAAGGATGAACAAAACATTTATTAGTCAGATCGCAAATGACTGCCGCTGGGGAAATCAAGCGGGAAGCAACATACCACCATCACTATTTTCACTGTCGAGAGGTGCCTGGGCAATTGGTATGTGCTGCTGTTGAACTGAATAACAATGGACGCAATAAAGTAATCAGAAAAATAGAGGACATGTGTAAGCTGATTAGGAGTGAGACTGGAAATTCAGGTTCCTTGGGATAAGGTGACCAGCCTATAGATGATGGGTCGCCAGTGACGAAGGCGTCGCCACATCAAAGTGTCTCCAACCATCAATTGAGTTTGGTCAGTTCAGCTTTTCAGCTAGAAACTGTGTCCCAAAGTAGAGCCGCTGCAGTTTCGTTCACCTGGGATAGGAAGAATAGTGGAATGACAGCCAGGCGTTGGAGGCTATTGTCCCATCAGGTCAATGACATTACAATTGGGGTTGTCATTGGTCTCCATCCCATTGAACAGTATCTCCAAGGGGTTGCTTTCTTCTAGACGAAATACTGATTTGAGAGAACCTTTCTCATCGGGGGTGGGGTCTCATGCCACCAACGCAGCCCGCATCGCTTTCAGATTTCTCTAATCTGCATTCAAGTTTAACTGTTGTTTTAATAATGAGATGTGTGCAGTCCATACTTGACACATCTGTATTATCGGCTTTCAATCGAGTGCAGAGTTGGCGTGCGGCAATCATGGGTGTATATGCAGAAGCAAAGGAAAACTGGAAGAGAACATTAACAGCGTGATCTGAATCCAAATGGCTAATCTAAAACGTGCGGCGGTTATTACTGTCTTCTATCGGTAAGTGTGATGTCATTCAGTTGTCCTCATGTGGGTCCCACATTGTCGCCGTGATCGATAAGTAGGGACGCGGAGAAGCATGCATTTTATCTCAACTGTCCGTGCGTCGTGCGCAGACAGTGAACTTACTGCTCCGTCCCTTTATCTCTGTGGATGGTCAACCAAGTTGGACTTTCGCGTTCCCAGTCAGGATTGCACAGTCAGCAGTTGCTTTTCGACTATCGGACAGAAACTCGTAGAAGACATTTTTCACGTTCCGAGTAGTATGAATTTAACATTTCCGATGTAAGATATAAGTATAAAACTGTCCAATCACACGGTTTAATGAGTTCAGTTTTCCATCAGGATGAGTTCTGATTTCATTTGGATCACAGATGCCAGACAGCCTACCGACGCTGAAATAATTTCAATCCAGTTGGCTGCTGAAAGTGTTTATGGAGCTCAATATACGGAACATATGGGTTTTCCACATACAATGTGAGCCAGCTGTAAGAATGAGGCGGTAAAATAAATTGGTATTTGGTGAGCATCAGATGCATGGCCCACTCAACCTATCGTGGGTTCGTAGTCTTTAAAGGTGACTACAGTAAGAGGTAAAAGCATCTGGCGGTATCGTAAAGTTCTATACGCTAATACAGAATTTTGAGAAACCGTAACACTGCGCACTGCAAATGACTATAGAACCAGACAGAGTTTGAACATGTTGCACCCATTAGGATACAACATAATACAACTACTCGTATAAACAGGGTTGCTGCATTTTAGCTGGCTGCTCAAGTTTGGCCCTATAAGTGCGACAGGACCTTAAGGAACGGACGTTTAGCCAATGTAACCAGCGAGATCACTACAAGGCGGCAGTTCTTGGTCGCAATGAGTACAGCCGGGGCATTTGACCAGTCTCCAACCGCCCACTGTGGTCAAACGGATTAGGCTTGAACTTGTTTTCAAATACAGAACGTTCATCAAAATGTGTAAAAGATCGAATGAAAAAACGAACGGGCTCATTATTGAAAAATCAACTAAAAACTCATCAAATTCGCCAATGTTCTAGTCTGATGCCAAGCGAAAATGTTTGGTAAAAGGAGTACTCATAGAGGAACTGAATATGGATCAATAGAAATGAAGCCAAACTAACGAAAGCAGCCATGCTTACTGCCAATCCAGGAGTATCTGTGTCAGGAGGGAATGCCAAAGTGATCAGTGGACCCGAATGCTCCAATTCCATTCGTAATACTTCAGCGAAACCTCTCAGGGCGTATTTACTGGCACTGTAGGCTGCAAAACCATAAACACCGACTTGACCTGCCATGCTACAAACGAATGAGATTCGCCGATCTCTACTACTACGAGTTCGATCTGAGAGCATGTGAGGCAACAGTATTTTGGTCACGTTAACAGCCGATAGGTAGTTCGTCTTTATCAAACCCTCGATAGTGTCTGGCGTTGTGTCAAGGAATGTTCGTGAAACTGCATATCCTGCACAGTGTACGAGAATATCCACGGGACCTGAAACATACAAGTCGACGGACATAACATATCAACTAGTCCATAACAATACAATCAACGAGCGACTGTTGAAGTGCAGAGTTCAAGCAGCTAACATATTAAGATATCTGTCAGGAACATATCACCGGTCAGACCATATCAGACTCACCACTCCGAGCCCCTGGGTTGGGTTGTCGACCTTTCGTCCAAAAAACATGAGTGCAACATGCATTCAAGAACCATTATTTAACATTGGTAGTTGACAGCATTCTTTCTTTTTGGCAATCCGCCCGCAAATGTCTGAAGATCATGCACACAGCGGTACCGCAATAATTTGCAGGAGTTTGCGGTGTCTGGGACCGACCTTTTCTAATCAATCCTTCTTCAGGGGAAAGCAACATCACTGCTCCCATTAATATGAACATGCTGGTTGCCTGGATGAACACCTAAATGATTTCACTTTTTATCGTGCAGGAAAAAATGACATTATCCCCCGACCGCCTTGTTTTACGGCTAAACACAATATGGAGTTCGTCGGTGTTCGTTTGATCACTTTCCTCTGGTCTTCCTGTAATGGTTGCACCCTATGGAACGGAGATCTACTCAACATGGTCCGCCGGATTATACGGAACTCAAGCCCGACCACCACTTTGAGGTAAGAGCTTTTGGTTGCATCACTATCACACGCATATGACTAACTAATGCTAGCCATTATTCAGCTTGACTCGTACAAAAAAGATGACAGGCCACGTCTAGTACTGTTGTAATCTTAACGCTCTGGAATACTCAGGGTTTTTGCATAAATGGGAGCAGTTTGGCAGTTGAACCCAAATGCGGCCATTTCAGATAGAACTGGGCCTTTAAGACTAACGAACCGAAATCAGATTACATTGTTTCGATTTGATTCAGTCAATACGATAATGAGCATTGAAAGTCACTCCAAGGAAAACCATTGGTTTAACAGGTCCAAGTGTTCAGTGTGTTAAGGTATTTCGCTCGGCTTTGATCCATACTCCGTGTCATCATCCAAGGTTAACCTAAGGCAGATATGGTAAACTTAACTTAACCGCCGACGGATGGCCGTGTCCGCTGGTGACTAACTAACAACTGGTGACTAACAACCGGCGTAAACATGACCACAGTTACCGCGGATAGAGTTGTCTAGTTTTCAGGTCTATAAGCTCCGAGGACGCCCTCGCGATCGTTGAACTGACGAGTTGCTTCGTATGGTTTTACCCTTTGCCACCCTAATTCTGCTTCGGCTTCCCGTTTCACAGGATTCACAATAGTAGCTCTTAGCCGGTGTCCACCTGTCGGTGCTTCTGTCCCACAATGTTTCGTCTCCTCATATGAAGTTGACCATACAGGCGCTGCTTCGTAAATTCGCTTCCCTGCGTTCGCTAACATGCTCCACTCATCGTAGATGCATGAATATGACGGTGGCCTCCATTTTGTCACAGCACACCTATGCAGAATCTCCATGTCCAGCACGTGTTGGGTTCAGAAAATGCATGTGAAAACTGCTTGATTGGGAGAGATCGAAGCCTACAGGTACATACGAAGCTACATAATTGCGAGGCGAGGCGCTTACTAGTCACCTGTCGGGACATACACAATACATGATAAGTCAAGAAAATAAGGACTTTTACTGACATTAGCCTGCACTCCTAAACCTGTGTCTGTTTCTGTTGTTTGCCCTTTAGAACAGCAGCTCATAATCGACCATCACGTGTGCTTCAAGAAACACACTACTCCATAGAGAATAATCAACCCGAATTGGCTGCGAAGTTTGAGTATGTTGAATGAATAACGCGGTTGAGTGAAAATATACGCTGTCAAAGTTCAGGTGGAAGTATCAAACATACTTCTGAACCTTAAGGAGTGGCTTATTCATCAATGGTTTCCACTCATCCCCTAAATTGTAATAATCGAAGTCACTAGTCAATGCAGATCTTATGAACGACCATGTGGATACACTTCCTTCATCACTTCGGAGAAGCCGAAAACATCCCGTGTAAAACAGAACATTGAATATGTGGATCCCACAGCTGGTTAGGCCAAGCCGAACGAAACTTGGGTCTTTATTTCACAGTAACTTGGACGCGTTACACATCCCAGGATAGCCGTTTGGCTGTTAATTCCATTTACGATGTGTAAGCCTACATGTAACGACGCTTGGAAACCGAGCACACTGTAAAACAGTCTAGCTATTAGTCCTCCCTTACAAGCTGTGATAATAATAATAATAGTAATAATAATAATAATAATAATAATAATCGTTCAGCTGTAACACCCTTTCGGGGCCTAGCTGCCCTCAATAGTGTAGCAGCAGTGCGCGCATATTGGCGTTGTAAAAAAAGTTCAGCTGTGACATCCTTTCGGTGCCTAGCTGCCATGCCACCCGAAGTAAGCACAAGAATTGGTATGCTGTCAGGTTGCCCGAGCCTAGACGGGGGAAGTCGACAGGCAGAGGTCGGGTACGAACCAGGGACCTTCCGGTCAATAAACTCGCGCTCTAACCACTTAGGCCATCTCACTGTGATACTAAGAAGAATTATGTACTTATTTTATCCTTCTTCGGGTGGTTCAAATAGGAAACTTTCTGGATGAAAGCTTAATGCTCCACTATTTAGCTGAACAACTGCGTGGACAAACGGAGTTTACAAAGAATACTGCGCACAAACCACCTACTTATATGGAGAATCACCGGCTAGTTGATCAAATGATGGACGGACTTTCATGATCCTTGTTTGCTACTACCCCTAAAGTTCACAATCGGGCCTCTGAGTCAACCACTTTGGATGGGAGCCGAGCTCTCATATAACCAAAATAGACGGCCACATCGACCGCTGTATGGCTTCTATCTTAGCGGCTGAAAGGTAAGAAAAAATGTACTGGGTAATAAAGAGAAGAAAAAATTATTAGCTATGCTATGGTAGAATTATATTTTGGCAACTTTAGAGGTAGTAAAGTGTTGCGTGAAATTCGGAAATCGTGGCCATGTTATATTCCCTCAAAGAATAGGAGTGACACATTAATCAAAGCAACTAATCAGTATCCAAATCTCACCTGTACTTAAAATGTATTCTTCAAGCTGATTCTTCAACGGCTGAAACTCAGCACATAAATCAACTGACAAGGTCCGAACTTGGCAACCACGTCTTCCCGAAGCATGTAACTTCTCTTGGGCTGAAATCAGCTTATTCTGATCACGGGCAAGTAATGTGACATTGGCATCAGAAAGATAGAACAACTCTGCCAGCGATAAGCCTATTCCACTGGAACCGCCAGTGATGAGCACGTTGTAACCCTTCAGATTAGTTGGAGGCCGGCTTTGAAAGTAAAATCTCCACAGAATGTAACAACACAGCGCCAAGACAACAGCGAAGGAGACTGGTACCAACTGCAATGAAAAGGCATGATGAGAAGTCACACGTATGAAAAATAACAACACATGCTGTACAGTTCTGTTGAGCATCACGAGTGTACATATTTCTCAAGCGTGCCGTCACAATCTTCATCTGACAGTTCATAAGAAACTAGGCCGTCCGTTCCATGAGACTCTTTCGGTACGTTTTTCAAAAGGGGCAACTCCGTCATTGCGGACGGAAGCATGAGGGAGGACATTGTACGTGCGACACTTTCTGAACCATTCAACGAGTGAACAGAATCAGAGTTTGTCGCCTTTGTATTAAAAGCACACTGGGCAAGGGTCTTAAGCTTCTTCTTGTGAGCTGTGTATTCGCGCCGAAGTCGGTCGATCTCCAACCTCATGTCGCTAAGTTCCTTCTCTCCATAAGAGATGCATGTAGTCTGTCTAAGCAACGAGTCGATTTCCTGTTCTATCAGCAAAAGTGACCGTTCAATGGAAGAAGTAGTGTTCAGAGAGGAAAGCTGCGGGCGTTTTGTACATCCATGTCGGTTCCCTTGTTTGTTCAGACGAGTTCTGAGACGATTTAGAGCACTGAGTTTGGCTCTTTGATAGCCAGGCATTGACGAGTGGGCTCCAACAAACTGGTATCACGCTTTCATCCAGCTATTTTTAGATCTTCGTCAACCATAGGCAAAACAAGGCTGATATCAAGCCGCCTGAAAAAATGTAAAAATAATCAGCGTCTGGCAGCAATGAACACTCATATGTAAAGCGATACGGGTGAATGAATGCATGAACTAATCAAGTAAGTAAACGAACAAATTAATCTATATGTATATGCATCATTTCCGACCAAAAGTTGATGATCGGGCTTATGTTCCACAATATTCTCGCGGACTATATTGGTTGCATCATCATCAGGAATGAATGCCTAATCAAGTAAGTAAACGAACAAATTAATCTATATGTATATGCATCATTTCCGACCAAAAGTTGATGATCGGGCTTATGTTATGTAATATTCTCGCGGACTATATTGGTTGCATCATCATCATCATCAAAGACAGCAACATCAGTGTTGCCACTGATGCTTCACTGCCGTACAACCATAAGGTTTGTCTATATAAGGTTTGTCTACCATAAGGTTTGCCTACATCTCCAACCGCTCAATCAGACAATCTGGAAAGAAACTGACAGCACGAACGCCACTGACATCGATTA